CTTCCTTTCTCATTGAACATTTAGCAATCCTTTTTCTTGCTTCTGGCCATGCTTTGGAGAAAGCTTATACCACACCCTTAACGTGTTTTCTTAACCCATTTTCTGGCTTCACATAATGCAAGCATTCTGAGTTCACGCAACACACTCAGCTACAAACCAACCAAGTTGAAAATTAACCAAGTTCAGACTGCTGCAGAAATGCCCCTGGTCTTTACCAGATGTGATTACCTTTGTGACATGGACACAGCCAGTGTATACAATTAGTAAACTGGATAGAAAGCAGGGTGCTTCTTAAACTAATTCTGAAAGTTTGGGGCCAGACATCTCCTATAATCCACAGCGAGGCTTAGCCAGCGTCAGCCTGTGCATGGTGATCTCGCACTGGGTTCCTGCAATAAATTCTTTGTGAAGCTGTTCTTCTAAAACTAGGGCAAAACGTGGTGGCACGCGGCCACCATGCTGGATGCCAACCTACTGCCATGTCATGCTGTTGCTCAAGAAGGCAGATTGTCTGCCCACAGCTGGACATCTGGAGGTCTGTTTGGCCTGAAGCAGAACGACGGCCTTCTCTCACGCCCTCCAAAGGTCCATCACGTTTGCATTCAGCTCGCGTGGGGTGGCTTCATCAATAAACCAAATTCCACTTTATAGACACTGCAGTTCATACCATATGCTAAGACGGCGGCTCAGTTCCCACAGACGCTGAATCACGAATGACCCCACACATTTTAGATGTCTAGTGTGCTGGGCGAACCCGTTCTTCCTGTGCAGGCTGATTTTCATTTTCATACTGCATGGAGATTCCACTACGTTGCCCCTGGCCAAGTTTATTCGATCTCTTTGGCATTTTATATTGTACGGTGTGATTTGCGCATTTTAGCACGGCACTGTCCCTGAAACTTTGCAGGACAAGAGGTAGATAAATATATTAACACCCATCCTCTAACTCAAAGAACATGAGGTGAAGGAATCTAAATGTTCACTTCTTTTTGTTCCTGGGGGGCGATTTGCTGATAACAGAAACCTTGTGTGTTAGCATAAATTACCAGAAAATGATCGTCTCACAGTCATCCAGAGGATTTCCACAATGGTCACAGATTTCTCAAGACGCAGTTCAGAGAACAAGAAAGGGCCAGGATCTCTTCAAACAACATTTTTGGACAACAAATCTCCCAGTTTTTGATACTTTCCCCACCAACTTCTGAAGAAGTCTTCTGTTTTCAAATCTGCCATGGTTAAGCATTTGAGAAAGACACACCCAGCTCCCCCTTGGGCCCATGACAGAAGGAACAGGGTTGGTTGGATCTCCCTCAACATTCTTCATTTCTTTGGGACAGGAATGTATGACATTGCTTGGAGAAGCATTGCTCGCTTTGAGGCTGAAGGATGAAAATCCTTCCACATCTTTCCCAGTGTTTGCTCAAACAGGGGACTTCTTTTCAGCCCAAAGGAAGGATTCACAAAACTCCCACAATAGAAGTAGCAAAACATGATTGTTGTGTTCATGTGACATGCTGGGTTTGCACAGAACAGCGTTTCTCAACCTTGGCTACTTTAA